AACCCTGCCCTGTCCCTTGCAGTGGCTCTGTCCATGCTCTTCCACGAGTTCAACTTAGGAACTCAATGAAAACCCTTACACAAAACTCTTACACAAGAGCTGCCCAACCATTACTGACTGTAACTAGCACTCGGGATCTGAGGAGCAAGGACCGGTTTTCAGACAGACAAATATCACACTTAAACCCCCAAAATGCTGACATACAAGCTCAAGCCTCTTCCCTACCTTTCCCTTCTGATGGTGCCAGTAACTCCTGCATGATTTCTTCAGCCACCAGCTCTGCCACGCTCTGGGGCTGCAGGCCCTGCGTGGAGATGAAGGCCTGGGCTCTCCTGCCCCTGTCCGGCTGACGGGACGACAGGATCGCCCGCAGCACGTTTTCGGGGTCGCGGGCTGACATTTCACTGTAGGAGCAGTTCAGTTCCTAGGAAACACACACACACTTAGAAAACCTACCCCAGAAATTCCAGTCCTGAACACAGGGACCTGCAGGACATCTTCATGATGAGCAGACAAAGCTCAGTTTAAAACTGCAAACATACCCCATCCTTACAGTGGGTAACAGTGCCTTCACCTGAGCAGCTCCAGTATCACTGTTCTCCACACCAGGATGGCACCTGAGTACTTTGTGTTTGGAGCCTGATACCCACAGAGCTGTCACCATGGGCAGAGATGCTTTCCTGAACCAAATCTAAACCTTAACACTTAAAATACCTGGAGAAGCCTGCAGAGCCCTTCTGTGCCAGAACTTCTAAGGCAGCTGCTGCCTCCTTGTCTACTTTGGGGTTGGTGTTGATTCCGAAGGCATCCACAACACAGACCTACAGCAAAGGGCTAGATGAACAACATCTGCTCCAAAGATTATCAGAAAGGCACATCAAAGAGAGACAGGGGCTGAAATCTGGCTTAGCTGGGGCAGAGGCAGGGGCCTGGGGAGCCTGGAGTTGGGTTCATTTCAACACTTCACGCCCAGGGAGCATCTGGCCATTTTTCCACACAAAGCCTTGGCAATTCCAGCCTCTGAGGCTCGTTTCAGGCACCTGGTGAGTACTTTGACCACTCTGTGCTTTCCTCCACAGCACTGCTTGATACAAACCGCCTGTTTCTTCAATGAGGCACCTACCTTAGAGAGCTCATACAAACAGAGGACCTGTCTGCAGTAGTTCCTGCCATGGACACATTCATCTGTGAGAGCCTTCAGGCTGGTAACAACCTGGTCATCTGGAGATGGAGCCACGAGGTGTGTCCAGTCGTCTAAGCTTGATGCTGCAAACAAAAATACTATAAATGCCTTTCTCATAAAGGTAGACAGAACACAAATGAGCCAAAATACCCACAATAATACCTCAGATGTAAAATTCCTAAGTGTAAGACAGCATAAGGGTTCGGCAGCCTTTCTGATGGCTTAGGCTTCATTTACTCCTCCTATTCCTGTTCAGCTTTACACATGTTAGCATTAGAAAGTCATATTCCAGCTGACAGCTTCTGCATTCAGACTTTATAAACATGCACATTTTATAGATAAACATTTCCAGCCTTAGCCTTGCTATTAATTAGAAACACTAACTCCTTTATAATGTACACAGAATTCAGAGAAAAAATGAAAGCACTTCCACGTTTCAGCTCCAGAAACGCACTCAGGATGCACCAGAGTGTGTACTCCAAAAGCAGGAACGGGGATGACCTGCAGTGCTACGTTACTGGAGCAGAACTGTGAACTATAAAGAGTGAGCAGTTAAGAGCCTATAGAAACTGCCTACAGAAAGGCCCTGCCTGAAGCACACACAAGCCATGCATGTTACAAGCCTTCAAACTCCTTTCATGGGAGGATTTATGACCAAGGACTTTACCTGCTGTCAGGAAGACCTTATTTCCTGCAGGAATTTTGGGGGAAATCAACACTGTAAGAAAAGAGGAAGAACCCAGTGGACCCCCAGCCCTGGTATTAACTGCTCGCTGTTACTTACTGCTGGGGACTCTGCTTTGCGGAGCCACGCTGCTTTCAGGCGTCTTCTCCTTCACTGCAAGGAGAGCCTGACTGTCTGAGTGCAGTCTGGCTGCAACAATGTCCCCTGCAGCCAGAGCTCTGCAGTGCAGCACCAGCGAAACGTCTCTGTCGTAGAAACGGAAATACTGGCAGACACGGCTGGCCTCGTGGACGCTGCCTTCGTCGAGCAGGGATCCCACCAGGAGCCTGAGTGACTCCTCCTCATCGTTACTCATCGGCTGCGCAGCCTCTCCGAATGCAAGCGCCTCTACTCTGAGGTGCTTGGGTGTGTTCAGAGCAGGCAGCTTGGAAAAAGAAAACTCCTTAGCTAAGTTATCGAAGGTAAGATCCCCGTTCACAACGTGGGAGGAAAACCTCGGCTTGCCTGACCCCTCCTCTGTGGATAACGTTTGTTGGGCGATGCGACAAATCCAGATCTGCTTCTCTATTTCTTCTAATTTGGGCAGGGACACCGAGTCGTCCTTGGCCAGCCAGTGGCCAGCCAGGGTAAGCAGCAAATGTCGCTCCATGAAGCTGTGTAACTTCTCGTGAGCTGGAGATTCAAATACTGTGCTTGCCTGGTTAAGAAAAAAATCCGACGCGGCTTTGTTGGAGATTGCATTTTTCTCGAAGCTGTCGTTACATTTTTTCCAGAATTCAGTTCTTGTCTGGTTCTGATGCCACTGTCCAGTGTCTCTTAAGTGATGCAGATCTCTTAGAACCTGCAAAAAAAAAATCACAAAGGTTTTAAACACCTACAAAATTCACAGAGGTTTTAAACAACGGCAAAATTCACAGAGGTTTTAAACAACCCTCTTTCCAAAGCAAAGAACTCACACCGGATGGCTAGAACACTGAAAAACAGAATTTAGATTGTCTCAGTATGCAACAAATCCATCTATCACCAAATAAAACTGATAGCACAGCAAGTAAAAGCAGTAAGAGAATAAGGAAAGCTGCACTGTCCTCTTCAGCTCAGCACTTACAGTCAACTTGTTTGGTGCGCTTGCAGTTAAATAAAAAGTGATTTGAAGGAAAACCCTTGTTTCAGGAAGACTGAGAAGTGACTTCCCAACACTGCCAGTCACAGGGTGTTGGAGGTGAACATCAGGATGTAACCGTACCGTACCTCTCGGATAACGATGTTGTCCACGGGCAACTCAGCCAGCGCTGCCACCTCCCGTGCCAGTGAGAACCTGCCTTGCTCTTGCAGCTGCTCCAGGATCGATCTGCACTCGCTCTGAAACGCCTCCATGCTGGAACTCGTTAGCACGGAGCGGTTAATTGATACGGAGGAATCCTGCAGGGTCTCACTGAGCGCACAGAGCTTCTTCACGTAAGGGCCTGTTTTAAAAGCGCATACACAATTAAAGGCAGCTGGTTTTTAAACCTGAGGAAATCCTGCTCCTTCTTTCAGCATGCAGCCCTGCCAGGGGAGGAGCAGGGATTTTACACTCTAAAACCTCCAAGGGACTGAAAATAAGCTCTAAATGCATAACTTCTGTAGATAATGTGTGCACTCCTCATCAACACTTGAACGTACCCATTCTCCTAAACACTTACACACACAAGTACACTTTCACCACTGCAATTCAAGCCTTATGAGGAGCGGCTGAGGGAACTGGGCTTGTTTAGCCTGGAGAAGAGAAGGCTGAGGGGAGACCTCATCACCACCTACAACTGCCTCAAGGGAGCTTGTGGAGAGGTGGGTGCTGGGCTCTTCTCCCAGGTGATGGGGGATAGAACAAGGGGAAACGGCACCAAGCTGTGCCAAGGGAGGTTCAGGTCAGAGATAAGGAGGAAGTTCTTTACTGAGAGGGTCGTCAGAAGCTGGAACAGGCTGCCCAGGGAGGTGGTGGAGTCACCATCCCTGGATGTGTTTAAAGAGCGGGTAGACGAGGTACTTAGGGATATGGTTTAGGGGTAGACAGGAACGGTTGGACGTGATGATCTCAGAGGGCTTTTCCAACCCAGCGATTCTGTGTAATTCACCATAAGGACCAACTTCAGCTATACAAAGTCTCATACAAAAATAAAACAGCCTGAGTACACTTAAAGCAAACATTTTCAGTCACTCCAAAAGCATTGGATACGGTCTTTAGATTAAAGCAGTAATAGCAGCTAACAGAGGAAGCTGTATTTACCATCGAGTAGAAGATGATCTGTGGCAGCAAGCAGCTGCAGGAGCTTTCCTAGCTCATACTCCGTTCCACATTGCTGCATCATCAGTTCAAGAAGGAACAAAGCTTGTGACTCCATCCATCGCACGGGCAATTCTGAAGCTGCTGCTTCGCCTTCAGTTTTAAGCTGTGCAGACAACAATTTTTTAAGAGTTGGGTTTGTTTGGGTTCTTTTTGCAAAGATATTCTGCATCTCGGTGGGAATCGCACTGGAAATGGGAGGTGCACCAGATCTACCTCCTCCTTTAAGAAACAACGACCTGCCATTCCCAAGGGGACGCTGATCCATCACTGTTCTACGTTTGACTTTGATCTGAAAGTTCTATGGCAGGGGGACCACCAAAGAGATAAAAGATGGGAGAAGGGTCAGAAACAGGTAGATAAACTGCCAGGTGAACAGCTCTCGTCACAGCACTTCGTAAGCGTCTTCACTGTGTGAGTGGTGCACAGGAAAGGAAACACACCCAGCCTGAGCCTGAACTGCAGGAAGGAAAACCACTAATGACACGGAGTGTTAATTAGCAAGGTATTCAGGGAATGAGAAAATTGTGAAGGAAAGAAATTCAAACACTTGTGAAAACCTGTGTGTGATAAACAAGGAACACTGCATGAAAACCAACTGCTAAGCCAGTGTTTTAATCGCCGTGTGTGATTCAGTTCACTGAGCCGTTTCCAGAGAAAAGCCCACACAGCTACCAAAACCAAAGCAGTATCACAGACTTCTGCAGAAGCTCTGAAACACAGGCAAAAGCGTTGTCTGTCTTAAACAGACACTCTCTGTAGGTTGCTGGTTTATCAGCTCAGTATTGACTTGCCCTGGTCAATAGAGAACAGAGAATATCCCCAGAAACAATTCAGTTTACCAACAGTGGTCCTGCTTGAGTCAATGCCAACCCTCAAGCAGGAAACTGCTCACACAGGGAGGATGACGTTGTATTTCAATCTGCCCATATCAACTTAAAACAAAAGGATTCAGAAAAATACCCTGCAGGTTCCGAATCGTCAAAAATGTTCTTCAATCAGCCACCAGCAATGAGAAGAATCTGCTGAAGCTGTTCACAAATGAGCTCCCAGACCATTCTAAGCACACCATTTTCATTATTTTCATATGTGACATTAGGTGCCTGTCCCATTCCAACAAGGGAAAAGCATTTAGAGAAAATGAATCTTCTTACCTTTGTGAGGCTTTCCTGAAACTTGTCCAGTTTGGTTTTAGCTTCACTGTATTTTTTACAGTTCATACATAGTTCATACATCTCCAGTATATACAGCAAAGGAGAATCCTTCAAGACATAAAAATAAGTTATAATTATTTCCTAAAAGTACCTCAATAAATGCAGAATTTAGAAAAAGGCATTATCTCACCTTTAAAAAGAGCTGGAAGCCATTCAGAAGAGTTTTACTTCTTTGCTTTCTTAAGAAGACTTTCCAGATAACTGCCAGGTCGTGAAGATCCCACTCGTGATTTTCCGCCGAGCTCTGAACGTGGTTTGTTGCTTCAGCTCTGGTAACATCATCCACAGCAGTGATCATCCACACACAGAGACAGTGAAGAATGTTTGCATCCTGCCAAATGCCACAACCGATGGGTTTACAACAGAGAAAACACCACCTCATTACGGATCACTTGGCCAAAGGTCTCATGCTGTCCACAATTACAACAGAAATTGAGGAAAAGCCTCAATGAACGCGACCTACGTACCCACCACTTCACGTAACCACGCACTACTACCACTTTTTAATTACTTATCCCTCTAAAATAGAAATAACCTCAGCAATGCTCACCTGGAAACACGCTGCTAGCACGCTCAGAACAGGAGCGTGCGCTCTCAGTCCTTCAGTCAGGAGGTAACGTGAAGGGCTGGAGTGCCCCTGGCACTGGAAAAGGATTTGGAAGAGACTGTCTGCGTATCTGCTCTTCACCACGCTGGCGGTGCCGCTCTCAGGGCTCCCCGCATCGGGACACAAAGGTGGCAACTTCTCCAACGCCAACAGCAAGTGATCTTGTAAAGCGGGAGTGAAATCTTGAAGGACAGAAATGACCTAGGAAAACACAACCAAACACATCTGTGCAGAGCGAGACCCAACGAGAACGAGGGAGGAGAAGGACGGAAGCACTACTACGCAGAAAAGACAAAACATTCTTCAAATCTCATTTTTTAATACATCTTTGGAGACTTAGAGAGGAAAACTCACTCTGTGGGTGTGAATTATTCTAAAAAGATATTGAAGCTCATCGTTTTACGTGGAGCTAAAATGCCTTGGAAACACTCGTTTCTGGCATATCTGTCACACTAACAGTGCATCGTGACGCGTCCAGCCAGTTGCTATGTGTAATTACATGTTTTTCTTTGCAAGATAACAACAAACTGATCCCAGTTAAAATCCTAGGCCTGCTAAGCACCGCCTGACCTGGAATCTTCCAGTGAGCTTCCTCACATTTTTCCTTCCTTTTTTCCTGTTTTGAACATCACAAAGTACATTCTGGACAAACTCTATCTTCATTTCAGACCACGGATTGCTCACCTCGTCCGGCCGGTAGCCGTGCAGCTGGGTCTGGATGATGAACTGCAGCCAGTCGCTGGATCTGGCACATTCCCGTAGGTAAGATGTACTCAGGGCAATACGATGGAGTTTACAGAACTGCATTACCAAGGACCACTGCCTTCTGGACTCACCAGAGGTCCTGCATGCAACGTCAAGAGCTTCAGCTGTAATTAACTGGCATTTATATCAGACGTTAACAACGTATAAACCCATCGTGTGGCCCAAGGGTGTCTGAAATACCCAGGCTATATTCTAAATTCAAATACTGTTGTTCAGATCACTGCAATAAAACACACAGTACAATTCAGAGTTCAATCTCAATTGAACGTAATCCTTTAAATCATGTTTTACTCACTTCTCTATGCCTTGATGCTCAATTGCATCCCAAAAGGCTTCTTCTAAGGAGACAAGGACTGCTGCTGCTGCTGCTTTTTCATCACCAGCCAACTTTGTTAACTTTTCAACTGTTTAAAAGAACACAAGGCTATTTCTGAGATGCCATTTGGGATCAGAGTAGGGGTAATATTTTCAAAAGTACCAAAATCAATAAGAAGAGCAAATCCTATCGATGTAAACGTTTCAATAACCAAGTCTGGCACCAAAGTGGCTACTTGATTTCTGAAAAAAGAATTTCAACTTTCAAATCACAACTTTTTTTTACAATAAGCTCTACCTGTAGTTTTAAATAACGTATTTTTTAGGATTATCACAAAAGCATAAATAAATGCCAGCAGTTTCCCAGCCGAGACAAGGAGACACCTGTGGACCTATAGCTAGAAATTCAACTTTCTGATGTGATTGCTAGGATGAATTTAATTTCCTTATGGCTTTGAACATCTGATTTCACTGCAGCTGCAAGAGTTTTCAAGTAGGAAAGAGAAAAGAGATTTGGTGATGTCCCTTTGTTTAGTTCCCTAGTTATATTACTACAACATTAGGCAGAACCTTACTAAATATCACACTGAGCCTTAGGCAGCTGTTGGATAGTATCCATTAGATACTCCTGCAATTATGGCTCTGTGTCGTATAACAGATTTCCCACCTTATTTTGCATGCCAGATTCAAAATGCACCTTAAAAATTAGCAAGAAGCAGGAATAAAAGAGCAAAATCTGTGACTCTTCAAAGGACAGGATGCTTTTCCTGCACTCCTGAGAAGTTAGGGACCATTTTTCAACCCATCTCTGCTTCTCCTCCAACAAATACAGAGCACCCTAGTTTAAAACAAACAAAAGACACTCTTACCCAAAGATTCTCTTATCTGATTGTGCTGAGATCCTTCATTTCTAGTTCTGTAACTGAAAATTAGGTTTGCAACTTTAATGTCGACTCTGAGCTTGAGGCTGTCGAGACCGAGCAACTCCAGAAAGCAGACACAGGCTGCTCCCACCGAAGGGACACCAAAGGAAGACAGAGCTAAAACACAGGCTTCACTTCCTGCCTGCTGAATCCTGGAACGAAAGAACACCGGTTAGCACACACGATTTTAACCAATTTTCAAATATTCCACGTGTAAACAAGTACCCACAAGGTGTAATACACCCACAGACATTAGGAGCATGTATGATATTTACCAATGAAAAGTTTCATATTGATGAAAAATGCTGGTATGAGAATAAAGCCTCACACGTGGTTTGCAATTTAACAAACTTTAACAAAAGCTAAAGCCAAAGCATTTGACACTGTAACTAATAAAATCCATCTGTCAGCTTCAGTGCCAGAAGTCCCACTGCAGAGTTTACAACCCAAGCACTGCAGCACAAAGGACCTGACCTGGATCTGAGAGTTGCACAAATGGTGAAAAGAAACAAATACATTAATACACAAACAAGACATCCAGGAACCAAGCGACTGTTCTGACGTAGCTCCTGCTAATTTCCAGTATACTTCATAGTAAATGTAATACATTCAAGCAAGATGTGTAATTTGGCTGCATCCTTTTGAACATCTTTTGAAGCTTCAGCCAGAAAATTTCATTCCCTCAATCTCCAGTCCATTATTTGTCTTATTAATTCAATAAACAAAGTGTCACCTTTAGGAAAAGACAAAGAAAAGGGGCATCTCTTTTCTATAAAGTGATCTGGAGATCACACATCACACCTGTGTCTGATGTGACTGGAACAGTTTTCACTTCTTGCTTTCATTGTGCAGGTTTTATTTAGCTAATTCAAATTAAAGCTCCCCTTTTGGGTGACATTTCATTTCTACCCTACTTGATGCTAGACTGAACAGACTCCTAGGACACCTGAGATTTCGAGAGATGTAATGCACACCACATCATTGCTGCTGGGGAGGATTAATGTCACTCCACGTGCTAGGTTAAGAGCTTCACAGGAACCATCCAATCATCATTTCTGAGAAGACTTACGACTGCTTGGGGGATTTGCTCTTTATTAACTGCTGGACCAAAAATGTACCAAAAGCAAAGGATGGACGGCCATGGTGCAAATAGTACAAGAAATCCAGTCGTTCCATTACAGCGTATTTGTTCACCAGTTCAGGGGATGAAAAATGAGGAAAGTCACTTGATGCATCTAGGGAGAACGTCATCGTTATCATGTGTTGATAAGCACTTGAACTAAACACGAGAAAATGCCTTTCAGCTACAAAACGGGAGATGACAATCCCATACCTCTCTTCTCGTTCTAATTCAAATCTCTGCAACCCCAAACCCCACTGAAATTCCAGTTCTCATTTGAAAATCAGAACTCTAGATCACTTCTTAGGCTCTCAACTTGCTTTTAAAGGAAAACACTGCTTTTCTAGCTCATAGTGTGTTTAGGGAAAAAACGTGTCTGTGAAGGGCTTAATGGAAAAATGTAACTTATCTAGGATTTAGCTTCAAAACAAAATGTCAGTAAATTACATTATTTTCTGGTTAAAGATATGGCCCTTTCAGTAAGTTCATCTGCCAAATAATTCCTCTGGAAGTTATTTTATCCTAGGCGCTGGAGCTAGAAAAGCATATAAAACTTGAAAGTAACATACCTGATACAGCGAGAGTATTTGTAGACTGCCAGCCAAATAATTTAGAGGGATCAAACGGCACTAATGCCTGAAAGATAAGAAACAAAATGTACTGAGACAGCTTAAGACTTTCACATCAGACCAGAGTATTTTAGGGAGCACTAGCAGCAATTGGGAATGGCTGTGCTGCCACCAAGCTGTGCTGTGTCTTCTGCAAAGGCAGTGTTTATCTGCTCCACAGGATCAGAACACAAACAAGTGCAAGGAAAAGAATCACACATCCCAGAATGTGAGGGCTTGGAAGGGACCTGGAAAGCTCCCCCAGTGCAACCCCTGCCAGAGCAGGATCACCAGAGCAGTCACACAGGAACACAGCCAGGGCTTTGGGTGTCTCCACACAAGGAGACTCCACAACCTCTCTGGGCAGCCTGGGCCATGCTCTGCACCCTCACACTGACAAAGTTTGGCCTCATGTTCACATGAACCTCCTGTGCTCCAGCTTGGGACCATTGCCCCTTGTGCTGGAATTGGGCACCCCAGAGCAGAGCCTGGCTCCTTCCTCCTGACACAAAAGTTTAGGCTTTGGTCGAAGGAAACAAGGAAAGAACATGCTTGTGTATTTTGCTAAACTGTGATCTTAGCAAAGTTAACACTTTTCCTACAGTGAATAACTTGAAGCATTTCTTCCAACTCTCAGTTTCTCTCATACCACAGATATGAAGTGAAAGGATTCGGGATTCCAAGGACCCAACCCACAGTCCCACCCTCCAGGCTTTAGCTGGAAACAAGCTTCTCTTTGCTTTTGTTCTGCCAAAAAGCATCACTGAGAAGCATTTTGTGTACCTGAAGGAGATGGTAAAGAGAGATGTCAGGTGGCAAAATTCCATGAGAAGTACACGGGGGAAAGAGAGCGGCTTTGAGTTTGGGGTAAGGAGTCAACGCCATTTTTAAGAGCTGTGGATCAACTTTCTTCAGAGGTTTCTCTGTATCTTCATTCTGAAGAACCTACATTGCAAGGAAGCAAAGTCATTTCATTAGGAAGAAGAAAGATTAAGATAACAATAAATCAATCTCTGAATGTGCCAAATGACCTCATGGAAACGTGACGTACAAGAGCAGCATAGAAAGTACAATTTTTTCCCTGTAAAATTATTTTCAGTTATTTTAGACTTAGCTTCAACAGTATCTAATGTTTTAGGTCATGTCTCAAAAAGCCATCTGTATTAATAAATCCTGCTCCAACGTGTGGTTTGCCAAGCATTTTTCATTTCAAAGTGTAATTGTTTGTAGTGTGCATTTTGCTCTCTATAGCGCAATGCACTGGTTAACACAAGGTACCCAGTGGGCTGAAGTTTTGGATGTGTCCAGATTTTCAGCTTTTAAACACAAAAACGTGGAAGCTGAGTAACACCTGTACAGATCCCAGCAGAGGAGCAGTCGGGTACCCACTGCTTCATTTCCTTGAGAGCTACAGATGATGATTTTACTTAAAAGCTATCCCCCAGCAAAAGGGGATACAAGCACACCATCATAAAATGGCATTGGTACATTTATTTTTATTAACGTAGGCCTTTGAGCTTTCAACACCGGATGAGAACTCCTCCAAAAGCCTCTCAACAACCTGCTGCACACAGTACCTGGTCAATACCTCCGGGCGCGTACATCGTAGTAGCGAGTGCTAACAGCGTTCGTCCCTCCAGCAGCATGCTGCTCACGCTGGCTTGATTACTGGGGATCAAGATCTGGGCATTGGCCAGGCTAGCCTGGAAAATCATCTTCGGATCTTAAAAAAAGAAAAAAAAGACTTAATTTCACACAAAGCCAATATTAAATTATTAGATCATGCATTAAAACTGCTCTACAACTACAAAAAATGCTGGAAAGTCCTGTTTTTTGTCAATAGTGATTTTTCTCGATTTACTTATAAATACGGAGAAGCTGCTCTGAATTTTACCAAGCTTGCCCTGATTTCAAACCACACTTCTACCCACACAGACTGATTTCAAACGAGCCACACAGTTTAAAACCGTATTGGTTCAATTCTTTATGCTACGCTGACCCCACTTTCTGAAAAAGCTTCACTTTGGTTTATTTTTGTAACTCGTCAATGTGTGACTCTACAGAAGACGAAATGTTTTTTAAAAGGTGAAGTGAGTTAAGGGCACAAATTCTACTGATTTTCAGTGACAATAACTGAAAAAAAGCAAACAAAATAAGGGCCAGAGAAGTCAAAATGCACCACAGGAACAAGAGGAAGCTTTAATTTTAGTAGTATATTCAATTTCTTATCAGTTCTCCTTCAGTTCAACCTGTCAGGAATATAATCAAAACGGAGGCAATGAGGATCACACACAAAGCAATTTTCACATATCTACAGCCTCCAAATCTTTATGTACACTGGAATTCTAATCCACATTTTACAGATGAAGAACTGATGCACATGTAAATGATTTGCCAAGGTCAGAAAATAGTTTGCAGCAAAGCAGAGAATTAAATTCGGCTGTGCCAAATACTCAGGTAGCGGCATTAACACGGGAGCACTTCCTGAGCCAGGCCTGCCTCCTACCTTGGGGATTACTGGCAACCCCTCGACACTGCACGAGAAATTCAAACCAGGGATGCGCTTCGTGCAATTCCTTGTTATCCAAAATAGGGCAGTTTGAAGGAGATAAACTGGAAATAAGATGAGAAGCAGCAGTGACAATGCAGCATTTGTAACCATCCTCTGCCCCAGTAGAAGACTATGGTAAAAATGAAGAGCATTGGTGATACAGTGACTTGATTCATGCATTCCTATGAAGGAGTCAAACAACATCACCCTTCTCTGCAAGATGTGCGGTTTCAGCTGATACGGCAGCTCTGACAGCTCCCTTCTTCAAGATGATGTTTCTGTGCCTGCCTGCCTCTGTAAATCAACGTTACAGTTTCCAGACCTGACAACCCAACACTTTGCAAAGAAGGGACTTGATTCACAATTATCACTCTGCATAATCTGAATATTTGATGCAAACTAAAACTGATTATACAAACAAACACCACAAGATCTGCTGGCTTCTCTCTTGTCCACTTTGACCTTCTTAATAATTTCACTGTTAGACTGGAGTTACAGCTAAGAAATTTTAATAGCCAAGTATTCATTAAGTGGACAGTATTTGTATACTTCCAATGCCTAATTTTTCTCCTTGAAGTCCCAAGTAATCCTTATTTAGATGGAAACCAGCAATTTCTTCATTTGTGAATGCATCAAGAATGAACTCATACTTGTGCTCAAGTGAGAGAGTTTCTGAAGAACAAGCTGGTTTGGCTCATTTAAGGCTGTATTGCTTTTAAGATCATATAATTATAATTGTTTCCTTTGATGACTGACACACAAATTAATCTTGACAAGACAACCTGAGTACAGGTTCAAAATCCAGCATGAAACCTAACACACTGCCCTGCAGTTTTTCAGTAAATGACACTGTGACCCAAGTTTTTCTCACCAAACAGCAAGGGTTGAGGAAAACTCTTCCTGGCAGCTACTAAAATTGTGTTTTGTTATTTAAGTCTGCATGAGATTTGAGGGATGAAAAGCATCCGTACCTGTAGTAGTCTAAGTAAGTGTATAAGGGATACTGCAAATTATGCTCTAGACAGTGAAGGATGAAGCGAGTGTGGAAGTCCAAACCCCCTGCAGCACTGCATTCTGGAACAGGGTGAGGATTCTGCAGAACTCCCCCGATGTAAGACAGTCTGTGCAGCAAAAGCTCAAAATCTTCCAACTCGGAGCGGACAAAGATTCCATTTCTATCAGAAAAGAGAGAAAGCACCCACACTGATCAGACAGTGACACCTCCAAGAAGTTCTGAAGGGGGTTTTCAGTTCAGAATTATAAAGCAGACCTTTCCTTCTAGGGATTACCTCACTACTGAGGCAAACACAACAAGCTACATCTGCCAGTGCTCTAGCAGTGCTGCATTTACTGCAGCTCACTGCAGAGAACCAGGCGTGAGCAGTGAAACACTCTGAGCTTTAAATTTTCTCCTTTACATTAAAACGGGCATCAGGAACATCATCATTATGAAAGATCGAAGGGCTGACAGAGGATTCCTATTGCTCTCACGTTTTCAAGTAACGGAAAGTGCGAGTACACCACTAAAATTAAATTTACTAACGGATTTGTGCCGTTTCAAAAAAAGCACTAAATACCATATAAAAACGAATATGTAACAAAGATTCCTTTAACATGCACTTCTGTAACTATCTGGTTTTTGGCTTCACATAAGGCAGAAATTTTGTATAATATGGATTAAGGGCACATACCTAGCCAGCTTGTTTAATATATCATTTCTCATATAGCTACTACATAACATGTTCCGGTCCATGACGTCTGGAGCAAGAGGGGGCCAGTTGGTCTGTCCACACAGAGTCTGGCTGGGCTCACGCTCGTCGATCCATGAACAAATGTTAAGCCAATCGTGCTGGGCTGTCAAGTGCATCCAGAGAATCTCAGGGTTACAGCTCTTGAGCTCTGCGTTTCAAAAAGGCAAACTGATGAAACCAGCACAAACAAGCACTAGGTAGGGAAATACTGATGTTTCTTTATACGTGTACACATTTTTAATGAAAAGTTGCAAATCTGATGCTGAGATTAAGCCCGCTGTTACAGCCTGTCAGAGCTCTATGTTGGAAGAGCTAAACACAACGCTACAGTATAATAAGCTTTACAGAACGTAGCAGAGTACAGCATTTCAACCAGTGGCCATGCCTCAGACAAGTCCCTTTCAGCTAATCCCTAATTTTTCTTTACAGGAAAACCACAGATCCTTGTCATGACACACAGGATGAAGCACATCGTTTACCCATTTTCACTGAGTGACCTACTGTTGTGTATAGCATACTATGTCAAAGACAGATTTTTAACTCACAATTTCTTCTAAGCCCTTAGTAGCAGAATACTTGCCTTGGCGTGGTTTTCTGGGGAGAAGAATCATTTCCCGAATAAGCTCATCCCACCACTGAGCCCAGTTAAACATCACTCTGACCCTCCTGTTGTGAGCCCAATGTCTGTCGTAATTCAGTGAGTCCAGCACCGCCGTGTGTCTGGAAAGGTCGTGTTCCTTTCTCCAGTTCTTGAAACTGCAATGAAGCTTTGCATTAGGAAGCCTTTCTAGCACTCTTTGTAACAACAGTCCACAGTCTAACAAATAGAAGATGATGAATGGATCAACTCATTTTGTTAGTCCATTTTGAAGAGGGTTCTGGTAGAGGGATTTACTACAGCTAAAAGTCTGAGAGTGCACATGAGAGCAATGGGCGATGAATTAACTCATTTTTCCAAATGACAAGTAGTATAACATTTTTACAATTATTTAACTGTAAAACGATTCGTCCAGGTTTAGTCTGCAATACCATGGGTATCACGGATCAAAACTAGAGCAAACAATCCATCTGAACATGTTTCACTTGGTCAATAATCCTAACAATATCCTCTGTTACTAAAAACACTTCCTTTATGGTGATGATGACATGAACAGAAGCCCTGTGTTACACTGACAATAGCATGTCATGGTTCAGCCTGGAAAGAACACGACAGCAATCGTCCCATTAATGAGAAAAGTAATTAGTTCCCACACCGACCCTTATCTCTGCAAATGAAGACCAGCGTGAAATTAATGAAGTTACAGAAGACTCTATTAGTGCAGTAAATCATATGCGACGTAGAAGCCAGCACATTTTAAATCCTATTAATGTTATTAATTAATAATTAAAACTGATAACCCACATTACCTGGAAAGAGACTGAATCTCTTTATTTTCTTGGAAGGACTCCGAGTAAAAGCTTTCAACCTGGTGCACAAAGTCTATCATTTTCTTCTCTTTTTCAGAAAAATAATTTTCTTCTCGTAAAACTTTCACCTTTAATTCAAATTAAAGTATTACCTCCGATTACAATTTTTATCTACTTAAAGGTGTACACGAACCTGCAAGTGTAAAGAGTTAACCAACTGTAGGAAAAAATGCTGGAAGCATTGAGGTCAATACACTTAAATTTCAAGAGGGCCAGGACCTCATAGTGTGTGCAAGCAGAGGAGCACTACATGAGAGCCTGAACAACGAGATTACCTTTTAATCAAGTTTTACTCTAACTGCAAATATAAAAGAATCACAGAATCACAGAATATGAGGAGTGGGAAGGGACCTGGAAAGCTCCCCCAGTGCAACCCCTGCAGAGCAGGATCACCAGAGCAGTCACACAGGAACACGGCCAGGGCTTTGGGTGTCTCCACACAAGGAGACTCCACAACCTCTCTGGGCAGCCTGGGCCATGCTCCAGAACCCTCACACTCACAAACTTTGGCCTCATGTTCACATGAACCTCCTGTGCTCCAGCTTGGGACCATTGCCCCTTGTCCTGGCATTGGCCATCCCAGAGCAGAGCCTGGCTCCTTCCTCCTGACACTGCCCTTTCCAAATGGATCCCCAGGAATGAGGGCACCCCTCAGTCTCCTCTGCTCCAAGCTCAAGAGCCCCAGCTCCCTCAGCCACTCCTCAGCAGGAGATGCTCCACTCCCTCCATCACTTTGTGGCCCTGCTGGATTCTTTCAAGCAAATGTCAATGACATGTTTCAGCAACCACATTGCAGGGATGCAGGGACAAAACCATACTGAAAATCTCTTCAGTACAATGCTTCTTCTCAGCATAAAGACACATCAGACGCAAGAACACCAGCCAGACAAAAAAAGCCTTTTCTACACTTACCAACAGATCTCGGACGTGTTTGTCAACTGTGTAGAAACAAATCTTACGCAATTCCTCCTTCACATCAAAGCCCTAACAAAAAAAGAAGATACTCATTGTATGCAAACCGTACAATCGCAGCTGTACATTGACAGAAGAAATGCACCTGCTTCCTTCCAGAGCACACAATCTCCTACAACCAGGCCTGTGATACTCGCTTCACCGGTTCCTAAAGGTGTCACAATAACCCAGCGATGTGTGTGAGGTCTCCAGCATGTCTGGATACACCACGTGTACCCTTTCATACCTGACTTGCCAGAATCACCTTTACCCTTTGCTGATCACGACACCTCATAAATAGGCTCCCTCAGCACTCTGAAGGTCCAGTAGTGACCAAAGCAGTTCTTTCAAACAAGTTAATTTCCACTGTATGTGGTAGAATCAACACATCCTTAAGACAGCAAAATGCTCCCCACATTTAGCATTCATTTCTTTGGTTACTCACGAGGAAGTGTCAAGAACTATCCACGTGCTTACTGAACACCTCTCACCATATTTCTTAGAAGTTCTGAGGCCTCTCTGGTATTGTCCTTCAGGAGCCGGTCATAGACCAGATTCAGACCTGTCTGAATAAATTCTTGTCGACTTTGAGCAGGATGCTGATGCATTCGGAAGAAGGTCTGGGCCTCTGGCATTTTGTTGCTTAAGATGGCATCAGCAATGACTTCCTAAAGAAAAAAGGGTGGGGGGGAAACAGAGAGAAGGTTGGTCCCTTCCAACTCCTAATATTCTGTGATTCTGTGAAACACAACTCTGGAACGAACTGACCCCGTTAATCTTCAGTATTACTGTCTTCATGACCCCTTTATTGATATTTTTGCAATAGTTTAAAGATGTTTCCGTATTAATAATTTCCTCAGATAAATTCAGTAAGAATAGTAAAATGCAGATTACTCCTCTTTACCTCTGGTGTCAGTTTTTCCCATGCCTGGCTTTCTTCTAACACAGGGAGGACTTCATCAAGATCTCTTCCTGCATGCGCCGCATTTATCTGTGGCTGAGGATATTTTCTCAGAAATTTTCTAAGCTGAATAATGTAATCGGTTAAAACATCTGCACCTTTCCGCAGGAACTGATCGGGTTCTGTCAAGAGAGAAGTCACACAGACATGAACAATACAGCATTTTTAAGATATTATATATTAACATAGTAAATATAAAAATATT